ACTGGAATGCCGAGTTCCAGCTGGCGTGGGAGATGGAGGACAGCACGATCTCCCAGGCGGAGGTGCGCATGGAGCAGCTGCGCCGCGTCGAGCGGGAGTTTGTGGCGGAGGCCACGTACACTGTGAAGCAAATCGTGATGCTGGACGACGATGGCCCGCGAGAGCTGCCCAAGTTTCTGCAGTGCTACCGCGTAGACAACATCTTCTTCCGCGTCCTCCCGGACAGTCGCTCGGGGCGCAACTACGTGGCGTCGCTCCGCGGTGTGCTGCAGAGCCGCACCAGCCTCCTGGCGGTGCCCCTCTCATGTATGTTCTTCTTCCGCGGCATGCCGGTGCTGGCGCAGGCGCTCGTCCCGATGCCGCGGGAGCCGACGCGGCTGTACGGCGCGGACTCCACCAACAACCAGGAGGTGGAGGCGGAGATTTTGCACATGGCGGAGGCCCTCAACATTCCTTTTCCAGACGGCACCCTGGAAGTGTATGAAGGCCTAGACGGTCGCTTCTACTTGACCAACTCAAACTCCACGCTGACGCCCTTGTTTGTCGATGACACGATTATGAAGCGGCAGGAGATGTTGCGGGTTTGCGAAAACGTGACGGACGGTCACGAGGACACCGTCGCGGTGCTCAACAACACGGCGGTGCTGGACGCGTTGGTGGGGTTCTGTATGGACAGCGGAGCCCCCACAACCAGCGACTGCCTCCGCACCGTGTGCGAGCACTTGCATGGGTTTGGTGTCAATATGTGTCTGCTAAAGCAGGTCATCCAGAAGATTGCGACCTCCGAGGCGTACGATGCGGCCACGGTGGCCAAAGTAAAGGAGTTGCTCTTCGTGGAGATGCTGGCGCGGTCGGTGAAGCAGGAGTTCTACCTGGAGGTTCAGGGGAAGCGGGTGGCCTACGATGACGAGGTGCTGAGCGCGACGCTCTCCAAGCAGATGGCGGAGGCCTTCACGAGCGTCGATGTATTCCAGAGCCGCTTCCTGGAGGTGGTGGCAAAGAAGTACGGTGTCGTGGACGAGGACAACGACATCATCCACGGCCTCACCGCCGTGCGGCTGAGCCGAAAGGCAGACATCGTGGCACGCGTCTGCGCCCTGCTCGGGGTCACGATTGAGAAAACGGGCGGAAAGCAGTCCGTGATGCGGTGGCACGTGCATGTGAACGCGCGGGTTCTCCCGCAGCTGATTGACCCCAGACAAGTGCACCTACTCGCCGATAAGTATCGCACCGTCGTGACGAGAGACACCCACCGCTACGCATTTTGCCTCCCCATGCGTTGGAAGGTGGCGTGCTGGGAGGGCGAGTACGACGAGGCGCTGGATCTCGTCCATGCGACTGCTGTTGCGCAGCGCGACCGTTACGGGGAAGACGCCATCGTTCCCCTCTACTCCCGGCGGAGCGTCTGCGAGGTTTGTTTTGCGACGATGCAGAAGAACTGCATTGCGGAGGGGCGGAGTTTGTTTCCCGGGGTGATGCGGGGTTTCGAGGCCCTGACCTGCCCCATGACGCAGGGCCGGCGCCACATTGAGTACGGCTTTTGGCTCCTGCGCGTTGCCCCGGTCTACCAGCACGACGAACTCGTGACGTACCGCAGCTGCGTGGAGGAGGCCGTGCATCACTTCTACCGCGCCATTGAAAAACTCCCCGCGTACTTAAAGAGCGAGCATGGCTCCTGGCTGCATCTGCAGCCCTACAAGGGGCTGCTGCAGTGCAAGCGACTCCTCCCGTCCTGCTCCGTCAACACCAGGGAGCTGGTGGAGCGGTCGATTGAGTTGAGTACCATTGGCTGGGCCTCCGACTTCTTCATGTTGTATTTGTGGGACTTGAGCCTGCAGCTCGAGGCTGAGGGGCGCTACGAGGACGCCATGCGAGTTCTGCTCACCGCCATCACTGTGAGCAAGAAGAAGCCCACCGTCTCCCTCGACCTGCCCGCGCTGTTGATGGATGCCGCACACATCTACCGCTCCTGGGACCCGGACAGGTACTGCGAGCACTGCCTGACACTGATGCGGGAGGCGGTGGACAAGGCGGGGGAGCTCTTCGGGCAGCAAAGCAAGGAGTACGCCGTGATGCTGAACAACAAGGGCGCCGTCGAGATTGAGCTGAACCGCCTGAGTAACGCGGGGGAGACACTCAAGAAGGCGGGCGTCGTCTTTGAGGCGGCAGGGGTGCCGCAGGACGACCCCGACTACAAGGCATACCTCGACAACCTGGTCTTCCTCCAGCAACGCCTTGCGGCGCGGCCGCTGGTGCGCCGCGGATTCCTCCGCCGCTACCCGTTTCTTGCCACTCGCCCTGAGGACTTTCCCTTCTCCGACGTGCGGCCCCTGGAGGACGACGTTTTCGTCGCTCTGGCCCACAGGCGGGCGCGGATGGCGGGTGGGACCCCCGACTCGAAGCAGCTGGAGCAAAAGATGAAGGAGCGGCTGTGGGAGCTGCTTCGCTTCATTCAGGAGGGGGATGTGCTGAAGCGGTACCCCTTTTTACCCGCCGTGATTAACGGCGTGCCCACCGCCAGCCTGCGGCTCGACGACGATGCGCTCTTTGCGGAGTTTGCCCGCCTCCTGCACGAGAGTAAGGACGCCACGGCGAAGCGGGAGCTGGAGTCGCGGGTGCGGGAGTACGTCGTCAGGAAGGCGGGGGACGCCGCCCTGCAGCGGGCCTACATGGATCGCCAGGACGAGGAGTTCAACGAGACCCACGAGGGTTACGTCAACTTGATGCTTCCCATCCCCTGGCTGTACCTCCTGGAGGATGAGCGGTTTGGCGTGCTGATGGACCAGCTCCAGAAGTGCGTCAACACGCAGGCGCCGATCGCGCGCATTCAGGCCGTTCAAGAAAAACTGGCGGAGCGGGCGACGGAGATGGAGGAAGAGACGTTTCGCTGGCGCGGGGAGCTCGTCAAGTGGCTGCCCCCCGCAAAGCTCTACACAGTCCCCGCCAAGGACCTCACGGAGGACATGCAGCTGCGGGATCTCCTGCGTCTGCGCGAACTGCCGGCGTCGCGCGAGGAGGCTTCCGCGGCCACCATCGACGCCCTCATACGGGACAAGCTGGGGGCCCTCTGGGCACGGGCGTCCATCACCCGCGCCTGCCTCGCCGTAGACGACGAGGCGCTGCACAGGGAATTTCCCTTTCTCGTGGAGATGCCGCACCACCAACGCCTCTCGACGCTGATGCTGTACGAGGATCCAACCTTCGCGAGCCTCGCCGTGCGTCTGCGCGGTGCGCGCGACGACGGACGGCTGCAGACGGAGATGACGGGCGCAGTAAAGGCCATCGCCGCGCGCCGCCGTGACGCCAAGGAACTCAAGAAGTGGTACTACGACATTGACCCCGTCGTCACCGGGGCGATTTCGCTGGAGAGTGTTCCAAAGGTGCGAGACGACTACTACGTGCAGTTGTGGCAAAAGCGGAACATTGTGCAGGCACAGGAGGAGGAGAACTCCCCGCTGATGGTGACGCTGCTGCATCAGATGGAGCACCGCATTGTACAGGTGAACTCGTGGATGCGCAAGGTAAGCGCCAACGGGTTTCGGCGCCGCCTGCGACTGGAGGCAAAATACCCGTTTGTTGGCCGCCGGCACTGCGGCTACTCGCTGGAGATGCTTGACATTGAGGACGATGCGGAGTTTATGTCGATAGTAGAACAACGGCTGCTGCTGCTCGCCTCGCCTGATGCCTCGCCTGAGAAAATTGGGCAACTTAGCAGCCGAGCCAACAACAGAGTGGCAATGATCGCCTCGCAGCGTGTGAGGCTCGCGGAGGAGCTTAACAAAAAGTACCCGTTCATCCCCAGTCGCTTGGAGGGGGTCGAAACGCTGTCCATCTGCCTAGAGGAGAACGAGACGTTTGCGGAGCGGGCAGCGTACTACAACCGCCTGCGTGCTTCCGGCAGTGGCGACAATGAGGTGCGCTGTCGTCGGCTGGTGCGTGAGATGGAGAGCATCGCACTTGCCATTGCGCGTGAAATAGGCGTCCGGAACTGGCGGCAGTCCATCGAAGACGAGGACCTGCTGGAGCGCTACCCGTTTCTTCCGGAGGAGCCGGTGCGTGGAGTTCTGCTCGGCGACGTGCGCCCGGTGCAGCAGCCGCCCTTCCGCGAGCTCTCCAACAGGCTGGACGAGCTGCGCCGGGACCCGGCACGCAACGCGGCAGCGATACGCACGATGGAGGAGCAGATGGCCGCGCTGGTGGTGCGGCTGGCCGAGGAGCGCGCGGAGGCGACGAGGAAGACGCAGGAGCAGTTCCCGTTCCTCCCGCGGCGTGTGCTGGGCGTGCGCCTGGGCGACCTTCCGTTGCACGAGGATGAGTTTTTTGCCGCCGCCGCCCGCGAGGGGGTGCACGGCAAGGAGTCTCTCCTCCAGTCGAGGGCGCTGGAGTTGGTCGTCTCCCACGACCTGAGCGAGTCGCAGCTCGCGGACAACGACGACGCGGTGCTCTCGCAGCACCCGTATCTGCTGTACACCTCGCGGAAGTGCTTCCCGCTGCGTCATCTCCCGCTGGACGATGACCTACTGTTTAACGACAGACTTCGTGAGTACGACGCCCTGATGCAGCAGCCCACCATGGACGAGGACGCCGCCGCGATCGCGCGCTTTCGACTGGTGTCCCGGGCGGACAGCCTCGCCCTGAAGGAGCTTGAAAAGATTGAGCGCATTAAGCAAACCTTCGACGCCCTGCAGCCGCTGTCGTTGGAGGACCTCCGCCATCTGCAGGACCACAGGGAGTTCCAGACCTACACAGACGACGCGGCCAGCAACCTCTCGCCGGTGCAACTGGAAGACGCGAAGCGCAGCCTCATGGGCAGCCGCAAGGACCGCGCCGCACGGCTGCAGGAGGTCGACGCCCTCCGAAAGGCATACCCCATCCTCGGCCGCGACATCGACCCCAGCATCTTGGAGGACCCTGTTATTGCCAAGCTCGTCGGCGACCGCGACGAGCTGCTCGACAACGTTGAGGGCAACGAAGGAAAACTGGATCAGATTGAGGAGGCGATCACACGACACGCGTCGCAACGCAAGCGACAACTAAAAGGGGACACTACTGCGGTAGAGCGGGGGCTCAGCCCACGCAGAGAGCAGCCTGTTGAATACTACGTGGTTGACACGAAGGACGACGTGCTTGACGACGAGTACTACCAGCAACTGGTGTCGGAGTACACCTCCGTGCAACAACGGCAAATTCCAGACGAGGCGCCGCTGCTACGAAGACTCGGGAGACAAATAGAAACACGGGAACGGCAGATTGAGGAGGACAATAGGAAGTTGGCGGAATACAACAAAAAGGCCGAAGCCAGAGCAGCAGCAATGTATCCTTTTTTAAACACACACGTAAAGGCAATTCCCGTAACTGACCTCCACCTTGAAGAAGACGCCGTCATGCAGCAGTTAGAAGAAAGCAGCAAATCCGAAACAATGTCAGATGACGAAAGCCTCGCAAAAAACAACAATAAAATGAGCGCGCGTGCGCAAGCGATGGCGAAGGCGTTGCTTGAGGAGGAAGAGGCTCTGGCGACGGCGCTCCCTTTTCTGGGGCGGAGCGTGAAAGGGGTGCCTCTGCGCGAGCTGGCCCTGATGTCCGACACTGTCTTTGCGGAGCTGGCGGAACGGCACGCGCAGGAGGCGTCCTCTGGCGATGCGGCAGGGCGTTCGCGCCTCGAGCAGGACATTCGGGACCAGGCGGGACGCGTAGCGCGCGAGGTGCGGGCGGCCCGGCGGCTCTACGCCGTGCGCGGCGAGGACCTGCTGGAGCGCTACCCGTTTCTTCCGGAGGAGCCGGTGCGTGGAGTTCTGCTCGGCGACGTGCGCCCGGTGCAGCAGCCGCCCTTCCGCGAGCTCTCCAACAGGCTGGACGAGCTGCGCCGACCCGGCACGCAACGCGGCAGCGATACGCACGAT